TAGGGTTTTAGGATCAATGTGTGATTTAAGCTTTAATATTGTTTCATTTACGAATGTAGGTGCTCTTGTATTTGGGGCATAGATATTCAAAATTGTGATGTCCTCTTGGTGGATTTTTCCTTTGATGAGAATATAGTGGCCGTCCTTATCTTTTTTGATTAACTTGGGTTGAAAGTCTATTTTATTAGATATTAGGATGGCTACTTCCGCTTGTTTTCTGGAACCATTTGCTTGAAAGACATTTTTCCAGCCCTTTACTCTGAGGTAGTGTTTATCTTTGTTGCATAGGTGTGTTTCTTGGATGCAACAGAATGATGGATCCTGTTTCTGCAACCATTCTGTTAGTCTGTGTCTTTTAATTGCGGAGTTGAGTCCGTTGATGTTGATAGAAACTAGTGACCAACAATTGTTACTTACTTTAGATGTGGTGTTGGTGGTGTCACTGAGTTTCATTGCTTGTCTTCTTTTTTTTTTTTTTTTGTTGTTGTTGTGTAGTTATCTATTTCCTCTGTTTCCTTCGATGTAGTTGTTTTCTTTGGTTTGGAGTTTCCCTTCTAGTAACTTCTGTAGAGCTGGGTTACTATGTAGATATTGTTTAAATTTGGTTTTGTCTTGGAATATCTTAAATTCTCCGTCTATGTTGTTTGAAAGTTTTGCTGGGTATAGTAGTCTGGGTTGGAACCTGTGGTCCCTTAAGGACTGTATGATTTCTGTCCAGGCCCTTCTGGCTTTCATAGTTTCTGTTGAGAAATCTGGTGTGATTCTGATAGGTCTACCTTCATATGTTACTTGGCCTTTTTCCCTTCCTGCTTTTAGAATTTTTTCTTTGTTTTGTAGGTTCAGTGTTTTGACTATGAAGTGACGTGAAGAATTTCTTTTCTGGTCTAGTCTACTTGGTGTTCTGTAGGCCTCTTGTATGTTTATGGCCATCTCCTTCTTTAAGTTGGGAAAGTTTTCTTCTATAATTTTCTTGAAAATATTTTCCGGACCTTTGAGCCTGATGTCTTCTTTTTCTTCTACTCCTATTATTCTTAGGTTTTGTCTTTTCATGGTGTCCTTGATTTCTTGGATGTTTTGTGTTTGGAACTTTTATGATTTTATTTTTTTCTTTGAGAGACGTGTCAATTTCCGCAAGTATATCTTCGGCTCCTGAGATTCTTCCATCTCTTGTATTCTGTTGGTGATGCTTACCTTTGTAGTTCCCGATCTTTTCTCTTTGTTCTCCAGCTCCTGGTTTTTCTCTATTTGTGTTTTCTTTATTGATTCTAATTCTGTTTTCATGTCTTGCACCATTTCCTTCATCTGTTTGAATGTGGAGTCCTGCTTTTCAATGATAGCTTCCATTTTTTTGTCTGTTTCCTCTCTATGTATCACTAATTGTGCCTCTACTTCTTTGGGTATAATTGCCTGTATTGCTATGAGAGCTTTGTTTATTTCTTCTTTATTTGCCTTCATTTGTGTGGACATTTCTTTGAAAGCTTTGTGCATTTCTTCTCTGTTTGCCTCAATTTTCGTGGTCATTTCTCTGAGAGCATGATTTGTTTCCTCTTGGTTAGTCTCGATTTCTTTGGTTATTTCTCTGAGGGCTTTGTTCATTTCATCTCTATGGGCCTCTAATAGCTGGAGAAACATAGTTTTGAGGTCATTTTCTTGTATATCTAGTGAATTGAAGTGTCCATTGTTTTGTGGGGTTGCTGGTGAGGTCATTATATCCTGATTTTTGTTGGGAGTGTTCTTACGTCTGCCTCTAGTCATCTGGTTATTTATAATCCTCACTGGTTGTTCCTTGAGATTGTAGTTTGGGATATGATCCTCTCTTTCTGTTTTCTGGACTGTTTTTTCAGGAAGATGAGAGAGGTTCACTGCTTTGAGAGTGTGCACTGTGTTTTCAGTTTTGCCTAAGTAATGAATGTGACGCTGGCACTATTCGCATGCGCTTTTAACAGGCGCAGTGTGCATGTGCGGATTCTCTGACTATTGCAGTGGCCTGCAATCCACTATTATGCAGTTCTGACTGAGATCCAGGGATTGTTTGCCTGGATTGACCTTGTGGACCCTCAAGGCAGAGGCTTTAATGTTGGGGTCGCTATCTAAGAATCCCTATGATGCCCACACTAGGGGTGTGGGTGGCAGGGATCTTGTCTGGTTGCTTCTGTGGAGAGGCCCTGGGTCTGGGGCAATCTCTCCCTAGAAGGCTCACTCACTCTCTTGCAGGATCAGTTGGAATGCACAGGGGTTCCCCTTGCTCACTACTGTTTTGGTCCTGCTGCGGAAGTGCACGGGTAGGCTAACAGTCAGCTCTGTGACACTGTGGCCGTAGGACTCGGTGTCCACCTTTCCTGTGTGCTGCCTCTTTGTCCTTTCCCTCTGACAGGAGGGGTTATGTTGACTGGTCCCAGGGTGGCAGGGGAAAGAGTTAGGATGAGTGTACTCAATCCCAGATCCAGGGCCCATATCTCTCTGCCAGAAGCAGCCTAGCAGTAGAATCTATGTTTGCTGATCCCAAGAGAGTACCGGGTAGGGTTGAGTGTCCTCAGATCCAGAGCTTGGGTTTCTCTGCTAAGGGCCACTGGGTGAGCTGGAGAGAGGGTGCTGTGTCCTTGGCAGGCTGCCTTTCTGTCCTTCCCCTCTGACTTTCTCCTCTGCTAGGGCAAGCTTATGGAGGTGTTCTCAGTGGAGTGCCAGCAGGGCTTGGGGCTTCTCAGTCGGATCCTTAACCTGGCGTTTCTCTGCCAGGGGCCCGGGGCGGGGGGCGCCGGTGATAGAACTTGCTGCTAGACCTTATTGTGCTGGACCCACAAGAATCTCAGGACATGTAGAATGACCACAGTCCCAGATCCTGAGCTGTAGTTTGTTTGCTAGGAGCAGCCGGCAGCACTGGAGTTCCGGCACTGTGTAGCCGCTGTGCGCCTCTTTATCCTTCTGCTCTGCTGTGGCAGGATGATGGCGGCGTTTGGGGGAGTGCCCGAAAGGATTGGGTTTTCTCAGCCCCGATCTCGGGTTGGGGTACAGACAATGTGGTCTGTGGCAGATTCTGTTGGGCACCTGCTGCCTCCTCCGAAGAGGGAGTAGGGATTTTGAGCTGGGCGAGCACCTGCGCAGCTGTAATCCTTGAGCAGCGGGAGCTCAATTGTGATGGTGGCAGGTACCCATGGTCGGAGAGACCTTCCAGGGAAAGACTGGGTGACCCGTGACCAGTCTGGCAACTTTCCTTCCCTGTGGGTTTTTTTTTTGCGACTGGGACTCTCAGCCTCAGGCACCCTTGTGCCCACCAATCAGCCTGGGAAATTGATCGTTGCAAGCAGGCTTGCGGCACCAGCCCGGAGACCCAAAGCTCGAGTTGCAGGGTTCTCTTCCGGGTTCTGCCTGGGCAGCCGAGAGTGGACCCGACCGATTCTCACACTGTGGGAGCCTCCCCTCACCTGGGAAACATGATCGATTGCTGTTGTTTCAGGGCCCAGAGTTCAGTCTCCTGGTCGCTGCACAGAGTGTGTGGTCCTGCTTCTCAGACACGGTGTTCTCCAGGTGCCGCCATCTTGGCCCCTCTGAAAGTATTTGTTTTAAATGCAATCTAATAGCAAATGGACATGTCTTTATGAATTGTTTCTCAGTTTTATACAATAGGCCATTACATAGAAGACTCAGTGTTTTCTTTATGAGGATTGTTTTCTGAGTGTTCATTTTATAATGACTGATAACAAACAGGTCCTTAAAGATAGGCTTGAGAACTGTATTATTTAACACCTGCTGCTGCTTAGTTATTTCCCTGTGATACAAAACAACCAGTATTTCAGTCACTTCACACTGTCAGTAAGCTAGTGTTTCCTATGTAAACATTCATGAAATTGAAGTATTCGTATTTGCCATGTGCAATGCTTAGGAAAGATACAGAAAATTAATATACAGGAACATGAGAGGCATTGTGCCGATGCCCAATTAATGACTTAATTATTTTGTTCCTCTGATTTTTTATTTTGAAAATGATAATCTAATTTTATTTTGATAGTCAAAGTCTATATGAGAGAATCACATTCAATAGAATGTGCTTAACAATCTACATTGACCTTGAATAATGTATATATATATCTATCTATATACTTCCTTTTTACAGTGAGATAAATATAGTAAGACTAAAAATTATATCTATCCATATTTTCTGAATTACATACATGAATGTCTGAAATATAGCTGGGATATGAAACATATACAATGTATCTATCACCTTTGTTAACATAGGATACACCTGATTACAAGGAAAGAGAATGTGGAGTATAGTATAGACTGACATTCCTTAAAATATGGTCAGTGATCCCTTATTTATAAGGATCCCAAGATGGCTGATGTCAGTACAAATTCCTGTGGCCCAATTGAGACTGAATGAATTGGAATCCCAGGGCAGAAAAATCTGTGAATATGGGTTTTTATTAATAATACTCATGTGGTTATTATGGTCACTGTCATAAAATATGAAGTTTTTATATTGTAATATTATCTCAGCAATCATGATATGGCCTAAATCTTGATTAAATTTGTAGGAATATTGAGAGGGAAAACAAACATGATGGAACCTCCTTGGATGTTTTATCATGTGTGAATTATACAGTACAAAGACAATAAAGACAAAACTCATCCAAGATCAGGTTTTACTTAAAATCTTGAATTAAATAAACTACCAATTAAGGAAATAAGCAAGAAGAGGAAGCTACCTTTATCATGTGACTTACGAGGCGAACAGGCTCATTTCGGAATTGAAACTATTGCTTTCTCTTTAGTGTTATTGTTTGGTTCCAGGAAGATGATGATGACATCTGTCTCTTTTGCAGTGTATCAGTTTTTAATTTTCATACAGTAAAAGGAATCCTCAAATGACTCATATCACAAAAGCTGGGTAGGAAGAGTGAGAGTTGCTGCTTCATATGCTGTGTTTGCAACTGGATAGAAGAATCTTACAGAGCTTGAAACAGGTGACATTCAACATCAGTATTTACATATTGACTTACCTTATAAGGCCTTGGTAGATCAGGGTTATGATACCTTAGTTTAAGGAATCCGATCATATTTAGCAAATATATACAGCATGTTCCTAGACTCACATATTTCACTAAGTAGATTATATTCGAAGTTATTATTGCCACAGAAGAGAAAACGACTGTCTGGATGACAGCTACAACTGGAGAGTTATGGCCATTGAGCATTGAGTAGATGAAAGTAAGTTGCTCCTCTTGACTTGCACAGTAGAATATTCTTGATGCTGACAGTATTCCACAAGGAATGGATAAGATTAGGGAAGCTGAAATGGACAAAGAAACTACCCATTGCATGGAAGGAAAGTCTCTGTCCATCCATGTGACAACAACAGAATCTACAAAAATTAAATAAAAATTTAGGAGGTCAAATTCATTTTTGCATGACAGAAAATGGAGCAGCATTCTTTAATTTTCTTTGCAGCCACATGATTTATATTGTGACTTGGCAATTAGTTTTTCAGAAATAAGCCAGAAAGAAAGACCAAAGTATATGTGGAGCTCTGGCACTGCCTTATATGGATATTCCTGTACAAATGGCCTTGAACTCAGTTGCTTTGCAGAAGAAGGAGTTGTGAAATTTGTATAATACCTACCTCTCTCAGATAGCTCCCTTTGTTGCAAATATACTTGTAAATGCCCCAATCCAATGTCTTCTTTGACTAAGGGTTCCCTGACAAGCTTATCTAATACATCTATGCCATTTTATAACCATCTATAAAAGAATAAGAATATCCTAAAAAAATACTATGGTGACTCTCCCTTTGATTATTATACTATTTAAAATCAATGGCACTTCTAAAGAATTAACATTTCTCCAATCATGTTATGCTGGAGGAAGGGAGGTTTGATGCTCTGGTTCCAACTAGAAGAGTCACCTACTTTCCAGAAAAGGGTTTTATATATTCTTGATAAGTTGCCCAGCAACAGAGCCCAGTGAGTGAGTGATGATGGGTTCACATTCCTTATGGGGTTGAGGACTATTTTTTGAAGAGTGAATCATGAACATTGCTGCTCACATTTACTACATTAGTGTTCACATTACCTCGATACTAGACTACAGCAGTGTGCTATAGTGTGCAGTGTGGCTGAGAACTGGTTGTGACTCACTTTTCTGTCCTGTCGCAGATAAATGTAAATGACAACCTTCCTTAACTTCTCGGCACTAGTTTTTGCGACTAAGAAACTAAGAAGCTGCTGCCTATTTCAACAGCATATTTTATTGTAAAGATGAAGGTGTGTCCTGAAAGATGAAGCATCTATGCATAGTAGCTATTCCTTGTGTTTCTTGCTTTGCTCTTTCATGTGTCTTGTCATATTTTTCTTGACTCATTCCCTCCACTTCTTTATGTTTTCTTTATTTTAGTTTCGGTTGTACATGTCATACTTGATCTGTAACTTAGCTGCTAAAATGTGATTGTTTACTTTTTTAATAGATGGTTTAGGTCATACTTTTCTTAGATTCATTGAAAAGCCGAAAGTATAAATATTTTAATACCATGGTAGATATACCAAACATATGTATATACAGTATGTATCATTCATCCCTGTTAGAACACAGTTCAAAAATGGTGTCACATGAGGATTCTGAATGCTTGTGACACATTTTGTAGAAAACATGGCAAAAATCTTGTGACTTTAGTTTCTTCAAACATAGACTTGTTCTTGGAATATGTCTTTTTATTTGTGTGATTCTTAACTCTCAGAGTATGAATTGCCTGTTGTTCTGAATAAAGGTGATTATTATATGAAATCTTTGTCCTCCTCATTTGAGTTTCTACTCTTCCAGGCTCATGCTGCCAATTAGTGTATTAAGCTCATCCTCAGCCACATTTATCCTGAACACAGAGAGGCATTTATTTACATTTACTTCATGATAACTGAGGAGGTGATTTCTGGGGTATCAAAACTGCCAGGTATGATATATTAGTCAGTAAGTACAACAGAGCCACAATGGACAGGCAAGATACTAAAGATTTTGGAATATTTTCAGCAGGTCTTTTTACTTCTCCTAAGGGGAAGAAAAAAACATGATAAAAAGATATACAAAACACATAATCATCTTACCCAGGGTCCTCCTTCTTGCTTAGGTTCTTTAGGTGTACAAATTTTAGTAGGTTTATCCAATATTATATGTCTAGTATCCACTTATAAGTGACTATATACCATGTGTGTCTTTCTGCTTCTGAGATACCTCACTTAGAATGATCTTTTCCAGTTCCCACCACTTGCCTGCAAATTTCATGATTTCCTTGTTCTTTATTGCTGAGTAATATTCCATTGTGTAGATGTACCACAATTTCTGTATCCTTTCCTCAACTGAGGGGCATCTGGGCTGTTTCCAGCTTCTAGCTATTACAAATAATGCTGCTACAAACATGGTTGAGCAAATGTCCTTGTTGTATACTTGAGCGTCTTTTCGATATATGCCTAGGAGTGGTATAGCTGGATCTTGAGGTAGCACTATTCCTAATTGTCTGAGAAAGCACCAGATTGATTTCCAAAGTGGTTGTACAAGTTTACATTTCCACCAGCAGTGGAGGAGGGTTCTCCTTTCTCCACATCTTCTCCAGCATGTGTTGTCACTTGAGTTATTAATCTTAGCCATTCTGATGGGTGTAAGGTGAAATTTCAAGGCTGTTTTAATTTGTATTTCCCTGATGACTAAAGAAGTTGAATATTTCTTAAGTGTTTAAGTGCAAGTTGATATTCCATGTTTTGTTGATATCCCTGGAGGTCTGCACTTTTTTGAAGGAAAATGGGAAGGAATGGATCAGGGACAAGGGGGTAGAGGTGACTAGAAGGAAAAAAGGGAGAGGAGACTGTGGACAGGATATAATATATAAGAGAAAAATAAAAAATAATTTATGTACAATACTATCAGCTATGTAACAGAGATTTACTTCTATATGTAGACAGCATAAGCACAGAGTTGTCACATTAGGATATAAATTTTCTTTCCCTGTTCAATGAGAAAATTTTTTTGACATTGCTAAATACTGTAGAAGATTTCTTTATGATTTACTACTTTTAAAATTTTTATTTGTATTCTTATTTTATTTATATATGTGCTCAGGGTCAACTAAAATTTAATAGATTGGAAGTCTTCATGAAATAAAAAGATTAAGAAGCTCTATGCTAAATGGAGCATTACCATGCACTTCTGTTCATCCTCCTCTATACACTGATCTGTCATCAAGTGAAACAAACTTTGAACTGAAATGATTGGTCTATACCAGGCAATGATGACAAGAGACGAGAGCGTTTTGATTCAGTATGAAGGACCTGTTGGTTTCAGAAGGGAATAATCACATTTATGACATAGCAGATATTCCAGTAGAGCAGTTGGTCAGTTTTCATGCACAAGCTGATTAATAACTGGTTTGATATATTTGCTGGCACTTAGTGCTTAACTCTGTGAAGTAAGACTTATCTTCAAAGAGGTAAACTTTAGAGAATTGTAAGAAAGTATCAGGGAGTAAAATGTCAGATTACTATATAAATGGAACCCTAAAAATACTAGGAAAATTGGCACAAAATTGTCTTATTGATTTGGGAGTTCATTTCCTGGAAAATGAGAATAAAAATGAATGCCATATATTAATATATTTTAGTAGTGAATTTACTTCCTTTTATTAAAAACCTTGCAAAAAAATAGCATCTTCAAAAAATGATGCTGGTCTAACTGGATGTCTACATGTGGAAAAACGCAAATAGATGTCTACATGCAGAAAAATGAAAATAGATCCACAGATGGAAGGGGAGGAGGACCTCCCTAATCAGTGGACTTGGAAAGGGGCAGAAAGGAGATGACAGAGGAAGGGTGGGATTGGGAGGGAATGAGGAAGGGGGCTACGGCAGGGATACAAAGTAAATAACCAGTGATTAATATAAAAAATAAATAAATAATATAAAAATGAAAAATGCAAATAGATCCATACTTATCACCCTGTACAAAACTAAAGTCCAAGTGGATCAAGGACCTCCATATAAAACCAGACACACTAAACCTGTTAGAAGAAAAAGTGGGGAAAAGCCTTAAACTCATTGGGACAGGAGACAACTTCCTGAACAGAACACCAACAGCACAGCCTCAAAGAGCAACAATCAATAAATGGGACCTCATGAAACTGAAAATCTTCTGTAAAGCAAAAGACACTGTTGTCAGAACAAAATGACTGCCTACAGATTGGGAAAGGATCTTCACCAACCCTATATCTGACAGAAAGCTAATATCTAGAATATATAAAGAACTCAAGAAATTAAAAAGAAACAAATTAGTTAACCCAATAAAAAATATCGAGTACAGAGCTAAACAGAGAATTCTCAATACAGGAATATCGAATGGCAGAGAAACACTTAAAGAAATGTTCAACATCCTTAGTCATCAGGGACATGCAAATCAAAACGTCCTTGAGATTTCACCTTATACCCATCAGAATGGCTAAGATCAAAAACTCAAGTGACAACACATGTTCGAGAGGATGTGGAAAAGGAGAACCCTCCTCCACTGCTAGGGAGAATGTAAACTTGTACAACCACTTTGGAAATCAATTTAGTACTTTCTCAGACAATTAGGAATAGTGCTACTTCAAGATCCAGCTGTACCACTCCTAGGCATATATCCAAAAGATGCTCAAGTATACAAGGACATTTGCTCAAGCATATTCATAGCAGCTTTATTTGTAATAGCCAGAAGCTAGAAACAGCCCAGATGCCCCTCAGTTGAGGAATGGAAACAGAAATTGTGGTACATCTACATAATGTAATAATACTCAGCAATAAAAACAAGGAAATCATAAAATTTGCAGGCAAATGGTGGGAACTAGAAAAGATCATTCTAAATGAGGTATCTCAGAAGCAGAAAGGCACACATGGTATATCCTCACTCATAAGTGATATTAGACATATAATTTAGGATAAATATACTAAAATCTGTACACCTAAGGAAGCTAATCACGAAGGAGGAGTCTGGCTAAGTTGCTCAATCCCTATTCAGAAAGGCAAAAAGGATGGACATTGGAAGAGGGAGAAAACAGGGAACAGGACAGAAGCCTACCACAGAGGGCCTCTGAAAAACTCTACCCTGCAGGGTATCAGAGCAGATGCTGAGACTTATAGCCAAACTTTGGGCAGAGTGTAGGGAATCTTATAAAACAAGTGGGAGATAGTAAGACCTGTAGAGGACAGGAGCTCCACAGAGAGCAACATAACCAAAAAATCTGGGCACAGTGGTCTTTTCTGTGACTGATACTCCAACCAAGGAGCATTATGGAGATAACCTAGAACCCCTGCACAGAGGTTCAGTGTCCAAGTGGTTCCACAGTAATGAGGACAGGGACTGTCTCTGACAGGAACTGACTGGCCTGTTCTTGGATCACCTCCCTCTGAGGGTGGAGCAGCCTTACCAGGCCACAGAGTAAGACAATGTAGCCACTCCTGCTGAGACCTGATAGACTAGGATCAGAAGAAAATAGAAAAAAAATTTAAATAAAAATAAATATAAAATATAAAAAATATAAAAATGAAAAATGCAAATAGATCCATACTTATCACCCTGCACAATTATCACAAGCCCAGAGGCCAAAACACCAGCATGAAAACACTGGCATTAACAACAAAGACAATATGATGTCACCAGAACTCAGAAATCCTACTAAAGTAGTCCCCAGAAATGCAGTATCGCTGAAGCACAAGACAGGGATTTTAAATTAGCCATTATGAATATAGTCAAGGGCTTCAAAAAGGATATGAATAAATTCTATAATAAAGTACAATAGGAAAAGAGAAATTTAGGAAATCAAACAAAAACTTTGGAGGTAAGCCTCACCAACAGAGTACAAGAGATGCAAGACAGAATCTTGGGCATTGAAGGTAAGGCAGAAGAAATAGTTGCCTTAGTAAAAAATGTCAAAGTTGAAAAAAAATCCAGGTACAAAGTATTCAGAAAATTTGACTAATACTAGGGATATACAAGCAACCAATTGAAAGACTTGTATTTTAAATACTTGAATTCACTGAAGAGAGAAATTGAAGAAAAAATCTTAAGAGAATAACTCAGTGGCTGGCTCTTTGATCACCTCCCCCTGAGGGGGAAGAAGTCTTGCCAGGCCACAGAGGACAATGCACACAGTCCTGATGAGACCTGATAAGCTAGGGTCAGATGGAAGGGAAGAAGGAGCTCCCCTATCAGTGGACATGGAGAAGGGTATGGGAGATAATGAGGGAGAGAGGGAGGGTGGAATCAAGGAGGGAATGAGGTAAGGGGCTACAGCTGGGATACAAAGTGAATAAACTCTAATTAATATAAAAATAAAAATTTAATTAAGAAAACTCTCAAGATCATTGATAGGTAGAAATAATATAGTACAAATGACTATGCTACTAAAACCAATCTACGGAATCAGTGCAACTCCCTTCAAAATTGCAACACAATTCTTTTTAGGTTTTAAAGGACAATTGTCAACTTCATATGGAAAAATGTACACACACGCACACAGACAAACACATGAAAGTAGCATAGCCAAATGATTCTGGAATAAGAAAAGAACTGCTGTGGGTATCACTATTCCTGATTTTAAGTTGTACTACAGAGCTATATTAATAAAAAGTGCATGGTATTGGCATAAAAGCAGACACTATCTATAGGAAAAAATTGAAGACCCAGACATAAATTTAGGTGCTTATGAACATTCTACTTTTGGTAAAGAAGCCAGAAATACACATTGGAGAAAAGAAATACACATTGGAGAAAATATAGCATCTTTAAGAGATGATAGTCAACCTCAATGGTTATATGTAGAATAATGTAAATAAATCCATACTTATCACCTTGCACAAAACCTAACTCTAAATTAATCAAAGACATTAACATAAAAGTAGCTATCTTTTTTTTTAAGTGGAGACAAATGTGAACAGATTTATTTTTTATTTATCCAATACCTTTAGCCACAAGGGAAAGAAAAAAATCAAAATGCATTTAGTTTTGAAGTCACTTTACCTGGAATGGCT